GGTTCCAAGCAGAAATGCTATTTTCTGTTCTTTTTTATGAATGGAGACCTGAAAAGCCAGTAATCAAACACCACATGCCCCAACTGTTTTACAAAGTGAAATCATACTTGCTGTGTAATACCAGCAGATCATATGGATAAAGTAGGCCCAACCGTCCTATAGAATAAAACTTCTACATCTGCCAAAAATATGGAGTTTTTAAAGATTCCAAGCTCATTTGAAAAAGCTGACTTCTGTACAGGTTTTTTCCACTCTTAGTTGCACTAATATTACATAAATACTGGAATCAAGAGCATGCTATTGACAGGTGCCAGCTGTCTTTTATGTTGATGCCATTTTAACAGAAAGAGTATTTTCTGACAGCCTGACAACAAGGAAGAAACTGTGAGATCAAACAATGGAACCAGTTAAAATGAAAAGCCCGCCCGGTAAGGGATGGGAAGAAGGGAAAAGAGCATGTGCAAAACCGACTCATTGCTGGAAACCAATCCAATGAATGACAAAAGGATACATTGTCAAAACAAAAAACAGAAAGAAAGAGAGAAAATTCCCAACTGTACGCAATCAGAAAGCGCAACTCAAATACCACAATATTAAAGGGGGAGGAGGAAGGCAAAATGAATTTAAAAGGTATTAATTAATAACAGTGGGGAAAACAAACTTTAAAGCGAATACTGAGTCCATCAGTAACTTTCCTCAAGCTTAATTACCAGGAAGTTGCCACTGGATTTCTGCCATTCATTTCAAGAGCAGCAAAGGCAAGGATGAAGGCCAACTTCTGTAGCAGTGCTGCCAGGTTAACAGAAGCCAAGCAAGATTATCACTCTTCATGACGCTTGACTGCAGTGATTACCTTTTCTAATCATATTACATTTAATGTGAAATAGTTTGAATCACAGAAACTTCAAAGTGACCTGCTTAGCAGGAACTTTCTATCTTTTTCAAAACCAGAAAGAAATCTTTTCTCTTCAGGGCCTGGCCTTGGTATCTCAGAATATTATACAATCTAGAATGCCAGGAAATCTCAAACGGTTCTAGAATCAAATCAAATCTCTTTACAAGGAATAAAGCATGATCTGCTTTCCAGTGTATGATAGAAGTCTTCATGTATAACTTTTTAGGTTATTTTCAGACTGGCATCACAGGGAAGTTGTTTCTTGCAGGACCCAAATCTATTTATATCCTGATGGTCATGGTAAGTCCATGAAAGATGATTCTCGTGGCATCCTTGACACTCTAGAATACTTCATTTAAGTATACCTCAATCTACAAGAAATCCGATTCCTCAAGTTATGCCCTCATTATTCCAGAAGAGAAGTACCAAGGCTTCTTAGTAATTACGACTGCTGACAGCACTAACATATTGCCTCTTCCTGTGCTACTGGGCAAGAGCTTAAAAAGCAAAGCGAGTGACACCTTTTCAATCAATTAAACTTTCTTCTAACTGAAGACTCTGGAAACTCATGCTGATAACTGGGCATGAAATCTGCAGTCGCGGGTAACTGAGATTATCATTCCAATCACTAATGTTTTTCCTATAACTCACTACCAACAGGAAACCTTTGCTTTGTTGCTTTATGAAGAGTCAGTTATTAACACTCCAAGAACTTCATGTAGCGAGCCTTACTCTTTACAAAGATAAATTATAAGCATGCCTTTCCATCGTGATAAATAATATATCAATACAACAAAGATATTTCTTGAAGTCAGTATATTTACTCTTTCTCTCAAGTTCAATAAGTACTTATGGAAAATGCAACAGATAATTTTCAATTCAAGATCAGTTTAAGACAGTGTCAGAAGTGATTGTTAGGTTACATTTTGGCAAAGACCCTTCTTGCCAAAATATAATAGAGCATGGAAGGGATTCAGCTACAGTCTAAAGACAATTTCCAGGCCTGCTTTTCCAAGTGCTTTTCAATTTAAATTCAGATGAAGTGATAACAGGAACATTCTGCAAGAGGCCAAAATGTAGGTTTCCCACTTGTTGCCAAGACCAAAACTGAATGGAACAGGAAATCTGAACTGTGAGGAAGTACCTACCAGACCCCTGAGCATTTTGTATGCTGAAAAGGAAACAAAGTATCAAGCAGAATCATAGCAAAGCCATTTACTAAACAGAAATGCTCTAGGCAGGGCTGATATCAAGTCACCCCAGCACATGGGCCCGGGCCTTTGCCTTTTGAACATAAAGTGGTTTTTAACTTATATTTTATGTAGGTACAAACAAACAAACAAACAAACAAACAAGTATAAAAATAAATTCTACAACCTTTGTGACCTTTTGCAACAATCTTTTCACATTTTGCAACAACAGCTTTAATATTGTTGACAAAGTTCTGCAAGACGGAAGAAATATCAAGACAGAAAGCTTAGCTACTTTTATTTCATAATTATTCTGAGGCACCCAATAAAAGATGTTATGAATCACCACAAACTGTAATTTCATTCTTTGCATCACATGCAAAAATCTCTTTTTGGCTAGAAATGAATTATTCATAACAATGGTTAAGAATGGGGCCTTAATCTGTCGTCATATATGATATAATCAAATTTATCATCACTGAAGTAGGTGGCATGTTTTTAATCAGCATTTACTAATCTTATAAGACCTATGAGCTGCAGACTCAACATCTACACTGTTTAAAAGCAGAGCTTCAAAGGAGCTGCTTACATATGAAGTCCATCTTAAACGAGCATAGAAACAAAATGCTTCAAGACGATGGCTTCTTTAGATATCATTTACAGGCACAAAAAAATAATTTCTAGTGATGGTAAAAGAATAGGTAAATTATGGGATTTTTGAGAACAGAATGTAAAAGAGTAATGTCCAGAAGTGTTGCTGGTACTTAAATATGGGTATTAAAAAAACACCTAAAATAAAAAAAAAATATCCAATGATCTGAACAGTAAGCGTAACAATAATGGCCTGGAATGTGCAAAAGGGGATAAATAAAAACTTCAAATAAAATATGAATGAAAAGGCAGCTATATTAGTGTCTTTGAAGCACAAAACTAACTTCATCCAAAAAAACTCATGACATCTGTCTGGAGGAGCTGGGGAGCAGGTGGGTAACTCCTGACAAAAGAAAAAACCCTAAACTACATTACTGAAGTCTTAAAAAATATTCCTTAGAAAAAAAACAAGAAAATTGCTCAGATCATGTAAACATTGGTAAATTAAGGACATAATTTTCATGATACAAGACAATATTTTTTGCCTTAATTTTTCTAGAGCAAGTCCTTCAACTGTTATAGCTAGAAAACTTTCCTGAGACCAAGAAACAGAGGATAATCATTTACAGACTAAAGAAACACTGAAAAACACACTTTGATGAGCAGACCTGTATATCACAGGGGGGACTACATATAGTCGTGAGTCTGTTTTACTTAATATATTCTGTTCTTCTATAGCTCTTTAATTAATAACACTGAATACCAGATGTATGATTCCAGATCTCCCATGTTCTCCAAACGGCAATTATTTCAAAGCAATAATGCACATGCACTTAGGTATTTAAAGTCAGTCTAAAAGATTTGGTTTCAAGTTAAAGCTCACTAAATTTTCTTAACACCTAATGCTGGAATAGATACAATTTGCCATTTCACTCAAAATTAAGAATGCCAAAGGAAAAAAAAACATACTTTTCACTGGAGGAAAAAAGTTTCACAAGCCAGTTCCTTCAATCTACTTCCTACCATACAAACAAAAAAAAAAGTTAGGTATGGATATGTATACAAGCAGAGGTACCCATGTGTATATACATAAATATGTACACACACAGACAGACAGATTCTCTCTAGCAAAAAGTAAGCACCAGTAGTCATGCCAATAAAATCAGTAATTAATTGTACCATGATGTTTTCTCTTACATGTCCAATCCCCCCACTGAATCTTATATCATTGCCAAGAGATGCATTCAGTACCCTCGATGGCTGCAGGTATACCCACTGATTTTTTTTCATTCTTCAGCTCCTAATCCAGAGTGTCTTTCCTCAAAAGTGCTTTAAAATTAACACAATTCCTAACACATGTGCAGGAAAATTGCCAAATCCTTTCTCTAATAATTAATCACCTCCTAACTTGATACCTATGGCTTAAAAACCATGATTTGTTCTCTATGAGAGCATAAACCGGTAACAGCATTTCTCAAAAAAGCTCCAGCTAGAAAACAACAGGTTTTATTTTTAGATCTCCAGGGTTTGCTTTTCTTTTCCTCAGAGAGTCTCTTACACAAAAATACAAGAGAGCTAACAAGGATTCAGATTTTTGTGACATTTAGGATCCCTATTTTAAACACAGATTGGTTACAGAGTTAACACTAACTCATTGAGATAGCTGGGACTACAAAATAAATTTAAAAACCTCTTGAAGAATATGCTAATCACTATGCAAACCTAAGTAATTCTTAACCAGACATCTGCATCTTCGGGTAGTAAGCAAAGAGCAGGACACAACCAACATTTAATTCAACATCACACTTTATAGACTCTTGTCCAAACACAGTATGTTAAGAAACAGGGGTATCTTTAAAAGCAACATACTGGCCAGTGTCACAAAAAAGCACATGCTGGCAAGCTCAAGAAAACAAGAAGCAGAACAACTTGAATGCAGACCAGTCAATAATCCACAAACAGTGACACCTGCACCTAAGTGTCCACATGCCTCATTCTTTAAGGCAGCTGAGAGGGTGGGCGGGTAGGACAGAAAGCTTGACAAGTCCTTCCAGTTCTAACAAACGGAATACAAACTTAATATTTCTTCACAAGAGTTTCCTCCTTCTTCCTAAGAGTGTCCAAATACATGGTTCCAATTCTTAGTAGGTGGCAGATACATCTTCCTACTGACATTTTAAAAACTTAATTTTTTAAATAACTCCAGGGTAATGACTATTATTTACTTGCATAGTAAAAATATCACCAGCAGTCAGTATTTACTCCATGTATGCCCCATTGCAGCCAAGCAAGCTCTTGTTTCTCCAAAACACAGTGGCATTTACCTCACTGACCTTGGGACTGCCTTCCTCCAGTATTTCTCCCTCATCAGTTTGCATGGGAACAGGCTCTGTGCAAAGCTCTGCAGAAATGCAAAATACTGCCTAAAAGATAAAAAAGAAAGATATTTTCAAAACAATGATTTTTCCACCTTTACCAGTGTGAGATTGCAGTGCACATAAATTAACAATTCTAAGCTATGACCTTCAATGTTCCCCTTCTGCAAGTATTCGTTGAATTTATGTTTTACACAAACAAGGTAACTGTTGTTCAGGACAAGACATAACTCTACTCAATTAAGGTGGGGAAAAAAAAGAAAACACACCTAACAGGAATACACTTTCTTTTTCTTTTTAAAATCTGCTACTGCTGAGCATTTAATGTATTGTGTTTACTCATTAAAGCTACAGTCAGTAAGGAATACTCACACAGACTAGAGCTGAGCAATTCTTACTTACCAATAGCTTTTGTGCAAATATAAGCTTCAGAGATTTAACTTACAGACAATCTAAAGTTTATTAGTTTGAAAAATTATTAGACTCCCAATGAACTCTCAGTAGCTTTGAATTCTTAGTTTAGGGAATTTTTTACTTCATTTTAGAAATAAATACATTCTAGGCTGTAAATAGTTCAGGGAATTGATAAACTCATTCATCTGTAGGTTGACATTTCCAGACTAACCCAGGTCAACAGCTCCCAGTGTTTCCAATATTCAACACTACTTGGTAACTTGTTTTTAAATATTTTTAACAGTGTCATTGCAGTCTCAACTGAGCAAAATCTACACTCCAAACTCCACCCTCAGAATTGCAAAGGAACTTATGGAAGAATACAACACGGTTAGGGAGACTTTGGTTACAAAGATTACAATGTCTTCTACTCCAAAGATAAGCCATCTTTCGGAGGTAACAGATCAAATCAATTTAACAGATCAAACACATGAGCATAAATTTAGAAGGAATCTCTCATATTCAAAATGCAAGATATAAGCTATCAACAGGTCTGTAACATTCCAGGTATGTGGAAAGTAAGGGCTCACACCACATTAAGAACTCTCTTAAAGCCAAGAGCTGTTGGCTGTTAGCAGCTGTCTCTCTCAAGGTGCTGCAACTGTTCAACTGCACCAGCATTTAAAACCCACTTACAGCCTCTCCACTTGCACCTCAGGTACAGAGCTGCTGATTCTACTATCACCTTGAAAGCAGAAATTCCATGACTGGAAACTGACAATTCTGGAAGTGCAAATAGTAACGAGGTCAAAAAGAGAATCCTTAGAAATCATTCATCCAGATGCACCTTCTTCATTGCAAGGTTAAAGCTTCTTCATAAGGGAAGGCTGTCTGCACAGCCAACATCTTCTGTATGTTGTGCATAGGTAGACAACATCTTTCATGGCTATTAAGTTGACACAAGGAACGAAGAATGCGTTCTACAAACATAAAGGGCCTGAAGCTACAAATGTTACATGCAACTCATTAAATCTTATAATCAACAAGTTGTTATGTTCAGCAATATATATTCTCATGCAAAGCATGACAACTATAAAGAGTAGTAATTTCTTTTTCTGGGGAGAGAAAAAGGAGGATAAAGCACACCTCTCCCTCCAGTCCTCACCAAATATCCTGCCTACAGCATATAATCAAAAATCATAGGTATCAAATGCTAAGCATGACTTGTATCATGCATCTATGCCAAGATCCTCCTGCACAGAACAAGTATTTCCTGCTGCCAGGCCATGTTCTGCTCTGCAGGAGGAAGGGGGAGGAAGGGAGAGGACAGGCTGGGCAGTCCCTGTCCATGGTACTACGCCATGCTCTGCTTCAGAAACCACTTCAGAGCTTCTGGAGCTGGGAGCTTCTGAGCATGGTTTTGTAATAGCTCGATTGTTATGACAAATAGTCTGACATCTAATGATCAAAACAGCTTTGGCTAGAAGGACTGCTGAGGCACTGATCTTACTTAAAATCAGAGAAACAAGCAAGACTGAACTTGAGCTACACAAGCATTAAAAAAAAGCTCATAAAATAAACCACGAAATAGACAGGTCAGGCCAAGACCACATCAAGGATGGGTCATTGCTCATTCAGAGTGCTGGAAGAACTCACAGATTAACCTCTGAAAAACTGCATTGTTTAGCTTCTGAGATATCCCGGAATAGAAACTGGCAATACTTTGACACCTGTTTTTATATATTACTCCTGGAAGAAGACAAAAGCCTTCCAACCAGTGGATACCAAAGAAAACAAAAAGTCCGTAGAACTAGGAAATAAAAAAATAAATAAATAAAAAAAATAATGAAAGGCTACAAGAACAAATAAATCAGATCTCCCACAGACGACAGATTAAATATGCTGAACTATCCATGGCTCAGAGATCAGAGTAGGAAACAGAAAAACAGAGAGAAAGAAACCTGTAAAAAAGCAAACGTAATGGAGAAGAGTTTATTCACTCATTTGTCCTGTAATTCATCACCTTTAATGCTCAGAACATACGTCATGCTATTTCAATGCTCAGTTAGGGTGAACTCATCCCATGCTGGTGAGAAGAGGGAAGTTTTGAAAGACTGAAACTTAGTTAAATTCACAAGGGGAAAAGAAAATCCATCAATATCTTGCAGCTGGTTTAGGAAGACCCTAGGTCACAGGTGGCAAGAAGAAGTTTTGCTGAACACTACCCTTCTATTGTATTTTGCTCCATTGGATCTGCTTCTGGCTTCTTTCAGGAGACATCAGGCAACAAACTATAAGCCCAATTCAACAGTATAATTTTTATGTACTTTCTGATTACATGAATTCTTGATTCCCATGGCCACCGACATGAGCGCTACATTGCAAGTTTATTGCCAAAGGCAGCCATCGGGGGATTCCTGAATCCATGGGAAACTATACCTGGCAGACTTTTGTACATTCACAACTGAGCGTGACTTCTCAGCCAACAAAGTGAGGCTCAGCACCAGCATGTAAAGAAATAACAATTAATCCATGTTGTTGACACCACCTCTTAGGCTCACTAGCTTCCAAGCAGAGGGCTGAAGGTCACAGACAGGGTAATCTTATACACAGAGGATAGACAGACAACCAGAATTTGTACTAGTGTCCTATAGGATTGGGAAAAAAAGCCAATGTTAAAAGGCATTTATTTACTTATTTCCAATACTTGTATGATATGCCAGATTACCAGGGATAACACAAAGCTTATAGACATTTCATTTGGAATTTCAGATGCAACGTCTATCAAAGACACTCCTGGAAAAGGTCAAAAGTAAAATAATATTATGCATTCTTGTGTATAACCAACAGAACTACTCAGATAGGACTGAAATCCCCCAGTCTTTTTATTCACATGGCATCCTCTAGAAAAATTAACCAACTTGGGCTTGAGTCCCCTTTCTGCAGTAAAGATGTACACATTTCACTCAGTGATGTCAGAATGATGGATGCAGCTACCAATTATAAAATCAGTGTAAGCTGAACAGTGCAGAGCACTGTATGGAGACTATCTCTTCACTACTGCATTGCTGCACACTGGCAAGTAAAGCTTGAGCCAAATAGCAGTGAATAAGGTATTCACATTCTCTCTGGTAGAAAGCTTCATCATTCAGAAACACAAGGTCCTCATTAGTAACAGAAAGCTGGAATCCAACTGTCTTCAAATTTACTGCTCATCAAACAAGCATCACTGGAAATAAGCACCTTATCTAATACAGCAAACACTATTTTTCAGGTTGCCAGCAGCAATCCACTGTTGACTAAAGAATAAAACTGTTCTTTGTTTGATAGAGGGGAAAAAAACCCACAAAACCAAACCATTTCAAGCTTCTGAAGAGTGCACCTGTAAGAGAAGCACTTATTGACATAAGCCCAGTAGTGATTCCTCTGAATTCCAAAGTCTAAATTAGATACGGCCTGCTGGAAAAGCTGTGAAGGACAATGGCTGTGCAAACTGTAACCATAACAGATAGTAAACTGGAACTGAAGGTAGGTCCGAAACTCTCTCATAAGAGCACAAAGCAAAGCAGGCACACAAGTGCTCTTCAAAGATGCGATCATGTATACAAGGCATATTTGAGAAAAAGCAGTTAGAACAAGGCTGAACTGAACTGTCTTACATGAGACTATACTTGACACAATCACACTGATACACAATTGCAATTATTAGTCTCTATCTAGATACAGACCAAAAAAAATGTTAACTTTTAACAGATGGTCTAGCCATCTTAATTGCTACAGCTATACATTATACCCAGTTTAAGATTACACAAAAGCAAGTGAAAATTTAATATATGGAAAAGTACAGAATATTTTTGTCACTTAAATGCAAATTGAGAGGTACTAAGACGAAAGCAGAGGCATGCAGAAGATCAACAAAACTTGAATGTAACTTCATTGCTTGTAGGAACCAATTGCTTAACTATTACAGTGACTTTCAGATCTTTTAATAAATTAATTACTTTTCAAAAAAACCCATCATATACATCAATTTTAGCCAACAAAAACAAATCCTATCAGGCAGTTCCAGAAAAAATTTCACACCCAAACCCACAGGAAATAACACACTAGGAAGTATATGAAAACAGCGATATATGATAGAATCATAGAATGGTTTGGGTTGGAAAGGACCTTAAGATCATCCAGTTCCAACACCCCTATCATGGGCAGGGACACCTAACCCTAGACCATGTCACAAGGCTCTGTCCAACCTGGCCTTGAACACTGCCAGGGATGGAGCATTTACCACTTCTCTGGGCAACCTGTGCCTGAGCCTCACCATCTCTCAGTAAAGAACTTCTTCCTTATATCAAACCTGAACTTCCCCTGTTTTAAGTCTGAACCCGTTACCCTTTGTCCTACCACTACAGTCCCTGATGAAGAGCCATCCTAAAGTTGGTTAAAAACCAGCACAGGTTAATGTTCTCACCTCCAACTTTCAAAAATGCGATATTGAATTTTGGTTGATTTTTACCTTTGACAGTTTCCAAGGGCTGCCAAAGCCCGCAAGGATCCGTCCTGGCTACATTCAGTGCAAAAACAAAACCCTAAAAGGAGACAAAGAAAAAAATAAAAGGAATTTAAAAAGTCAGCCAGCTGTGGGCATGAGTAGATAAAACACATGTAAAATCAGAAGTCAATGCTCCCAAAGCACTTAGGAAAAGCCATATTCATCTTAAAATCATGCAGAGTAAACATAATATTGTAATCACAAAAGCAACAATACAGGCCCCTCTCACCCCTTTCCCCCTGTAATTTGTGCAGTAGTGGGGAGATGGGGAAAACAGCTACAGTTAGGGTTAGAGTTAAGGACAGAAGTAAATTTTTCCTCACTATTCTTCCACTTCAACTGCCACTCCAGTCTAGGAAATCATTTTTCTAAGGCAAGAGATTTATGTATTGCAAAAAGCATTGACTTGCTGAGCCTCAGGCTCAAACTGAGGCTTTTACAGAATAAAGCTGCACCACTGCTAGAAATGCATCTTTACCTCCGAGGAAAATGTTAAAAACATAATACTCTTTAGTGCTTATGCATACTTACCCATCACCACACGACTTAAACCAACGATCCATTTTGAGGAAAAAAAATAAAAATAAATAATAAAAAAATAGAACCCTTAGAGTATAACCACCAAACCATTTAAGAGCCATCTTACACCTGATATCTATTGTATTTAGTCTGCTGACTGATAAGCTTGCTCTGAATCTTCATGAATAGTATAGGTACTAGCCTGACACTGAAGAATAACAATGTACTTTACATAATGCTGCATGACAAAAAACCTCAAACTGATATTGAACAGGCATTTCCCCTTCCAAGGATTGACTGTCAGAACCAGAGTTTCTGTAAACTTTGCCACTAGAACCATTTGGGAGGGTGGGTGGGTGGTGGGAATAAAAATCTAACATTCCCTCAAAAAACTAATGGCAATTCCTCCTAAAATAAATGCCACTGTTTAAACCAAGCATTGTGAATGTTATATGTGATGAAATAGTCATTTGTTATTTGTTTGGCAGCAAGTTACAATTTCCTCATTATTAATCATCAGATCAACCTCAAGTTTTTAACTGTTTACTATGCACAGGTACAAAACCAAAATGTTCATTTTTTACCCAGAAAAGAACATGCACGCAAAGTGCTAGCAAAGCAGACTACAACACATGCAGTCTCCCCAATCACTTGCAAGCAGTTTTTTCAAGTGAAAAAAATCTACATTAAGTACATCACCAGCTTAATATTATGATGTCCCAAAAGTATTAGCAACCTTAGAGCCCACACCTAAATTGAGAATGTTTTTACTACTCATGGCATTTTAAAACCTTGTTAGAAGGAGTTCTGGAGGCAGAAGTCTAATAAAACTCAAACTTCATAACTTTTACTGTAAGTGAATGCATACTTTGAAATTAGTAAGAAGCCAGAACACTTAGCACTTTGCAGTAAAAAAAAAAAAAAACAACAAAAATCAATCAAACAAAAAAAACCCAAAAACTAAAAAACAAACAACACCCCCCCCAAAAAAGAACAAGAAAACTAAAGGCACCACAAAAGTAATAAATAAATAAATAAATAAATAGAACCCAAACAAAAAACCTGCGAACAACCCAAAACACTGCTTTCATCTTAGTGAACTAAGTAACTTCTCAACTTGGTGAACTAAGTTGAATTTACCTGGCTTCACTAGGTAGCAGGAGATCAAGAAAATACCTCTACTACTGAAATATATTTAAAATAATAAGCAGAGGTAAGAGTAACACACTCCATTCACAGAATCGTAGAATGGTTTGGGTTGGGAAGGACTGTAAGATCATCCAGTTCCAACCCCCTTGCCATGGGCAGGGATGACTCACCTTAGACCATGTCACCCAAGGCTCTGTCCAACCTGGCCTTGAACACTGCAAGGGATAGCATTTACCACTTCCTTGGGCAACCTGCTCCAGTGCTTCACCAGCCTCACAGTGAAGAACTTCTTCCTTGTGTCTAACCTTAACTTACCCTTTTTTAGTAAACTTACCCTGGTTTTAGTTTGAACCCACTACCTCTTGTCCTATTCACTACATTGTCTGCAAGTTTTCAATTTTCCCCTAATTTCCAAACTACAGAAGAAAAAAAAAAATAAAAATTCCTCAACTGAATGTTTAACTATTACCCATCTGCTTAGAACATCCCAGAAATATCCATCCACACCATTTAATATACTATTATTAATCTATGCTGACAAGTAACCAATACTTTATAGGTGGAGTCAAAGGCTGCGGTTGACTTAGCAGTTTTATCATGTTTCTTACATGTATCTCCATCCAACAAGAGGATCTGCCAAAAAGCAAGACCAGTGAAGGGTCTGTGCAGTTTTTGACAGTATAGACCTTAAGTTGGAGAACAGGATATACTGCAGAAGCTGGCCAAACTGCAGTTTTTCCCAGAAAGGGATTGAACCAGGCCGGATACTGAAATACTGTAGAATTAGTATCTAGCAAAAGCATTCACAGTTCCAGCCAAACCACCACATGCTTAGGGACCACTGATGTCTCCATAGGAAGACAGAGAACTGCTACTAATTATTCCAATAATCTGTCTTATCTCATTACAGAACCTTATTCAAGAAAAGGAGTATGGATTCCTATCCCTAGCGGAAAAAAGGCTCTCAGCAGCAAAGGAAAGACTGATTGTCCTCCTCCTGTTACTCTGACAAATGTAGGCTTATATTTCTAGAGCAATAACAATGTTAATTAGCAAAGTCAAAGCAGCACAAGAGTAGAAACCAGTGAAAATAGTTTGGGTTAAAGACAGAACATGATGTGTAGCTGAGCACGACTGCAAAGGTGTTACAGCAAGAAGAATCTCAGTCTCAGCCACAGTCAGAACATAAATTTAAATATCATGCATACATTGCCTAACTCAGATCCTCAGAATATGTATATACTTTGGCCAGGGCTTTAGGATGCATCAACCCACTTGCCAGACTGCACAGGGCCAGCAAATCAGACATGGTTTGATTAGGTAGCCAGAGGAGAGGGAAGAGAAAAAAAATTAACAACCCACCCACAATTTAGGCACCATTCCTCTAACAGAAGAAAGTAGAGGACCTCCCTCTTCTCTCCAAAACCTGTGACACTTCTTAACCTAGTATTAATGAGCTAACTACAACACTTCCTTATTAGTTCAGGCATACTGAAAGATCAAACTCAGTTTCTGTTATTGCAAGATAATGGAGACAATTGATTATACCTACATACTGTTGGCTTACATGTACTAAGTCCTAACCTGACAGACTAGAACTGTACACATGTACAGTATAACACCCCAAATTTTATGCATATATTTATAGTTCCAATACAGTGAAGTGCAGCAATTTGCTTAGCTGGGTTAAGAAATCTATGAAGCAGCAGAATATCCTGTTCAGAGTCACAGCTCCTAGACTAGCTTTCTTCTACCAGTGTTCTTTAGAGTGCTGCACATCTTCCCACATCTGTGCACCAAGTTCTTTACTTACACAAATACCTTATTTCTGGTCACCTCACATAAGCTGTTGCTGTGGGAACACAAACATATTCCAGGTGCACAGAACTGAAAGGAACAAGCTGCCACCAGGAAAGTGTTTTCTTCACATTCTCCCCACACACAATCTCCTATCCAAACCTGTAGAAACAGTAAACACTGGCAGCATGTGTGAAAGAATTTGTTGATGACTATGAGATACAACAGAAGAGTAGGAAGCTCTAAAAATACGATTTCTACTCACAACTGGGCAAAAACATGAGGTGAAACTTGTCTCTTGTTTAAGAGCTGAGAGAACACATGCAAGTGTGCTCAAGGAAACTGATTACATAATCCTACAATAACTTCTGAATACTAAATACTATGTGTAAAAATTAATCCCACTACCTGCCAATTGTGGGGTGTTTAATCCTGTTTTTAAAGGATAAAGTATCAGCAGCACTGAGATGCCTAACACTCCAGCCCATTCAGAATCCACCATTCTGTCTTAACCACAGCTAGAATTAAATACTTCAATTTTGGTTTTGCAAAACATAACCAACTTCTAGGAATGAAAAGAGGACCAGAACTATTGGTTTACCACTATACATCCAAGTTAACATCACTGAAATCTAAATTATTCCAGTTGCCACTATTCAGGCACCATAAAGATTTGTTGTGAAGGTAATCAACAGGTGGTATGTTTCTAAATTCACTGCATCATCTTTGTTTGCTATGCCTCATGCTTAATATACAGCATTATTCAGTGACAAACTGTTCCCATCATTGGACTAGCTGACATAAACTAAGGATTTTTTTTTCCCCTGAGCTTCCAACACTAACAAAAGAGCTTTCTGGGCATGATTTCCATTCAAACAATTTCTGACTAGAAAGGGTACATTTGGAGACAAAAGGGGGTCTTTGCCACCAGTGTGGTTTAAATGTCCCTTTGCTAAATGGGTAGATGTTTGACAGCAGTGAATTTTAAACTTAGCTCTGCTTACGTTGTGGAATGATTATGTCAAAGCAATCAAGAGCACACTCTACCCAAAAGCCTCAAGCTGTCTAAAAACGTCACCTCACAATAAAGTTACTGATGTAACTACACAGAAACATCACATACCCAATTAGGGTACTGGGAAGTTGGCTTAAAGTCATGCAAAATTTCAAAACAATAAATACTTCATATTTTTTCATATACAGCACACTGGCACTGAACAGTCAAAAAACAAAATAAATAATTCTCCAGGACAATCCAGGTGTCACTGCAGTAGTCTTTCTCCACTTATCAGAAGGAAGAGGGAAATGTAACTTGTAATCAATTATAAAGAATTCCCTATGAGGAAGAGAGATGCTACTGGTACTTGAGAGATTTACAACCTCTTTCTTTCACATTGTTTAGAACAATTTCTTTGCATTATGTAGGTGGAAGGAAATCAAGGAAAGATTAGCACTTCAAGGAAAAACTAAAGATACGACCCTACTAAACAAAGCAGCTGGGAGGAATGGGAAAAGGCAGAAATCTTCAGCCTTTTATCAAAAAATAAATCCAGAGAACTGCATTTAGCAATG